GGGTACTACTACCATTATATTAAATTCAGGCATACGACTTTAGAATACAACATTTAAACATGGCTTTGTGAAGGTGGCATTTCAAGCCAGTGCGGAAAAGATGGACCATCAGGTCCACGTGGCGGTGCTGCTGGCCCAGCTGCGGAGCCCCGTGGGAGACAGAGCTCTGGCCCCACCTTATCCTTCACACAAAACCAGATGGCTCACGTGGTTCAAAGAGTGAGAGGTAAACAGAAAGGAAAAAAAGGGAAGGAAGGAAGGAACTATAGACATACAAGAAAAAAGTGATTTTCTTTTTAAAAATAATTGTGGGGTAAGGTTTTCACAGCACGATGTTAAATTGAGATGCCCTAATGGAAAAAGATTGATAAATTTGGCACATAATATAAAAATATATGTATAGCAAACACATATCAAGTTAGAAAACAAATTGAAACAATATTTTTACTTTGATGGATTTATATACACATATATACATACATGCATATAATACTAAAGAATGACTTATATAATGCCTAAAGAACACATAAGTCTATAAGAAAAATACCAACAACCTAACAAATATGGCTAAAGTGTGAGAATAAGCAAATCCTAGGAAAAGAAAAGAGATGCTTAATCTCATTAATAAATGGAGAAACACAAATTAAAACAGAGAGTTTTTTTTAACCTCTCCAACTAATAAAAGTTTTAAAATTATTGATAACACTTAATACTATTAATAATATAAGGAAATGGGCTGTTTTATACACTATTAGAGCAGATGAAAATGGACTCTGTTGGAGTTCAGTATAACAATATCCTTCAAAAAACTGTTCTAAGCTTACACTCTGAGCTAACAGTCTCATTTTTAGGAGTTTACCCTGCAGCTGTGCTTGCGCAGGCGTGCCAGGACACACGATGGCATGTCCAGACAGTGCGGAGCAAACTCTTGACCTGTGTCTATTCACGTGAAAAGAGGTTCATGAGATCTGAGAGGTGTAGAGTAGTGTGTGCTGCTTGTGTTAGCAATGAAATAGATGCATATTTAACAACAGCTACATGGAAAATATGTGGAAGGATATATTATTTTATAATACATAGTCTAAAGTATTTGCCTTTTATTGAGAGACTGTTAGGTTCAGGGCACTCTAATGGGTTATGGATTCCTCAGACCTACTATTTGTAGTCTCTAGTGCTCAAAAGCTGGAGACTGATTCATCTCTAAAGCTTCATGTAAAATACTGAGTGTTCATGCTAGTTCTCGTTAAATGTTTTGTTTTCCTTTATAAAGGCCATATTTTCTTTAGCAAAGAAGATAGCCAAATTTGAGAAGATACTCAAATTTTTTTTTGTTATTTCTTAAGTTCCTTGTTGTTGTCATCATTGTTTTGTCAGTGTTTCCTTTTTCTGTTGATACTTTTGATAAACTCAAAAACTAATTCTTTCTAAACTCTAAGGTTTACCTAAATGGGAGAGTAGTTTTAAGATGAACAAATCCCACTTGTCCATGCTTTTAGCTCCCATGGGCTGAATTTTTCCTTGTAGACAGCCTAAATCTTATCAAATATTCCTTCCTAAGTGCTTAGAAAAAGGTATTTTAGGATATAAATTTATTTTGCAGGTGATGAGTGCACTCTTCAACTTAAAGGTCATGTCTAGATAAATGTCATGAACAGCCTACACTACTAAGCTCAAACATTCATAAATGAACCTTAGCAAAATTCCATTAAAATCTGTCAGATCTTTGCTTTCCTGTTGTTACTCCAGGTTAAATTATACTTACAACAAAAGCCTCTTGAAGCTCCTGCTAGATGTACCGACTGCCTCTACCAAATAGTCCCAACTTTATTGCTGTCTTTGTAACTTATAAGACAGCAAATATTGACCCGTAATTATAACCTCTGCTGCTTTAGAAGAGTTCTAAAGTAATTTTAAAATACGACAACATTCTTCTAACAAATATTAGCATCCATGTGTAAAAATGAAATGCAGGAAAACTATACTAGCCTATTTAGAGGAATAGAGGTAAAAGGAATGAAATGGAAAACTGAGCTATATCTGTTTAAAGTGAGATCATTATACATCTGGGGAGCTAAAGGGGACAAAAAATTCCCTGGCTCCAATTTCCTTACTTTATAGCAGAGGAAACTGCCATCGTGAGAGGTCTCAAAGTGAATGGCTGTGCTAGGACCAGAACCGTGCACTTCTGCCTGCAGTTTGCTAGTTGATCACACCACATGTCCACCTCCATGCACATGCTTCTGCACATAGACCGTATTTTTCTAAACATGCCAACACTGTGGCCCAGCAGTTCCACTCCTGGACATAGGCCCAATATCCACCAAAAGACAGGTACAAGATTATTCACAGCAGTATTGTTGTTAATAAGCAAAAGCTGTAGGAAGGAAGGAGAAAGGGGAGGGGAGGAGGGAAAAGAAGGAAGAAGAGGGGAGAAGAAAGGAGGGAAGGGAAGGAGAACCCCAATATAAATCAACTATAGAGTGCATAAATAAATTGTGGTATATCCACACAATGAAATATTACACAGCTATTAAATAGAATGACTGATTCATGGAGCAATATGGATACAATCATATCACTGAGTGAAAGAAGCCAGACACAGAAAATTGTGGAGGGCATTTGTGTTACTTGTGTGTCTGTTTATAAGCCCCATAAGGTCAGGGACCCTTTCTCTGCAGCTGTAGATCTCTAGCACATTATCTGGCACACACCAGGAGCTCAGTGTGTATCTGTTGTGACAGAAAGTGCATGATTTAGAAAAAGACACAAGGGAAGTATTTCTCTACTGAGGAAAACAGTAGGGAATATAGGGAATAATTTTCAGATGTTTTTATTAGAACACAGCATATGGAAACCTGAAATACTAACATAATATTAACTGTAACTGACACTTGGCTAGGTATGACCATAACTAGACCATGGTAATATTTCAGACTGTTTCAATTCAGGTGCTGCTAATGGAGCCTATGGTTTGACTCCAGAATTAATTCAACCATGAAAGCCAGCAGATGTAATAGTTTTCTCTCTTCATATTTTAGGAAGTCTTCTCAGTTTCTTCCCCTATTTCTTAGTGCCACAGGAGCACTGCTGAGTTAATTGGTCCAATTTTAGCACACCGATTAGGTCATGCTTTTGAGGGTTAGTGCCTTGGGGACTAAATGAGCTTCTGTTGGAAGAAGGCTTTCTCTTACTCCTTATCCTCTGGCCTTGTGGGGTGTGCTGGGCCTTCATCTCATTGGAATGGTAAGTTTAGGAGGAGAGAAATAGAGTAGCTCCTCTGCCTGCTTTGATTTCTAACTCCTTATAGCCAGCTTGTGTAGGAATGAAGGCCTTCCCACCACGTGGTGTGCTGAAGTTTATTAGCACTCCCCACTGAGGTTTGGGCTGTTCTCATCATAAAAAATGAAACATTATATTGCTTCCCTGAGTCATTTGATTCTCCTAGGAACCAACCAGAAGGTAGGATGGCTAGACCAAGGTAGGATTGGTAAATTCAGGATCTCCTGGTCAAAACGCCATCCTATGTTATTATAAGACTGCCCTTTAATACCACCTCATTTCTTCGTCCCTAAACACACACGCAGAGTCATGGTTCCTTTCTGGTGTTAACTGTGGTAATGCTGCCTATTATTCCAACTTCTCACGTGGAAGAAAGCCTTGAACCCTAGAGGAAAGGTATGCTTGTGTTGGCAAAAGAAGTGCCCTACTAATTACAGATCAGACAGGCCAGATGAATTTGAGTCCTAGGGGGAACCGCAGGAGCAAATCGTTAATCAATTTGCAGTCATCCCTAGAAGCACTGGTTACCGAGCTGCAGTGAATATGGCTTTGTGAACAGCCACTTGTGCCAAAGCAAGTTCACTGCTAAGTATTGACCAACAGGATTTTCACTCTTCTAGTAGGACATTTGCATCAACAGGATTAAAAGACATGGTCCTAACCATTCTTTAGGTGGGTGAAAAATAACGTTTGATGGTGTTACTTTATCTAAAGGTACTTGTGAAGTGCTGAGCATGCAGAGCTGGGGTGGGAAAAAATCTCTATTATTTTTTCTATCACCTAAATTAACCTTTAAAAAGTTTATTTTTTTATCTAGTGTGTTTTATGAGGGGTTGAATTACACTCAGTGCTTTCCTGTTATTGTAATATCTAGGTAAGTTATAAGCAGCTTGTTTTTAATGAGGCTACCAGAAGCATAGTCCACCTCAGGGAAACAAAAACCTCATACTCTTTCCTTTCTTGCTGGCGTTATCAGCCCGGTGCACAGCTCTTGACCTCTTGGCTCCTTATTTCATTCACACTCAAGCAACTTTTTGAATAGAGGAAATTATCTTGCCAACAGGGCTTGAATCTCATGTCTTACCCTGTTGGGATTTAAAATTTAGTCACAGTTATATAAAAATAACAGACACGGTGGCATGACAAAAATATATCAAGAGCTCCTACCATCTTTTTTGTGAGGCTCCCCCATATTTATATTGAAACATGTGAGTTAATGTTTATGGTTTCATCCTTCATCATCCTTCTCATTTTCACCAAGCCCCAAAGTTGTGCCTTCGCTGTTCATTTGTGCTCTGAGCGAATACCCAGCCATTGTTGGACAGCAGAGTCTTCGGTCAGATAAATGCACCTTTTTTTCATTGCACTTCTCTACATTTCATCAGCAGACTGAAATAAATCTTTTTTTGTTAATGGCACATTTTAAAATTAGATATTCCAAAGATTCTTGCGGCGGGGGGGGAATGGTTTTACCCTTTTTAGCCTTTGCATTGGAATTGTTTATTCTTGATTGAGCATCTATCTGTGGCATAGATACTGCAAGGACATCCCAATATGGAGAGAAAAGGTATCTGGGTATTTCCCATGGAGAAAAAAATATATGTACTTACATTTGCAAATATTAAAGTGGCGATGTTAAATTTTAGATAAAAGTGTGTTGAAAGTCAGTCCCAGTGGGTCCTTGAGAATCACCTAACGCGTGTTGACATGTTGGTTTGCAGTTTAACTCAGCTGCTAAGCAGCTGATAGAATGGGATAAGCCTCCTGTGCCAGGAGCTGACGTTGGAGAAGGTACCTCGGCAGCAGCTCAGAGCAGCACTGGCCCAAAGCACTCCGACACCAAGAAGAACACCAAAAAGCGACACTCCTTCACGTCCCTCACCATGGCCAACAAGTCCTCCCAGGCGTCCCAGAACCGCCACTCCATGGAGATCAGCCCCCCGGTCCTCATCAGCTCCAGCAACCCCACCGCGGCCGCGCGGATCAGCGAGCTGTCCGGTCTCTCCTGCAGCGCCCCTTCTCAGGTGAGCCATCACGAGGGCGCGGGGAGAGGTTGGCCACATCGCATCACCAGCTAGACTGGCATGTGTATTCCCCAGCTGAAAAGTGTGTCTGTTGTAGCCTTCAGAAGATAGCAGCTTTCCTGGGGAGCAAAGCCTTCCTCGTTTTGTAGGTGGAAAAATGGGGAAATAACTTGAGCGTATGAATCCAGAGGTATTCAGTAGTTTTCAGAGGAAAGATCAGAAACTAGAAAACAATTTAAATAATAATTATCAGTATCACTAAGCAATCCCCCTGTTTCCCCCTGCTTTGGGAGATCTTGGTAACGAAAACTTTACTTCCATTCAAACTGAAGATGCTGTGGTCGAAACTCACAAAGGTTGCAGTTGCCTACAGCTGTGTAACTCACCTTGCTATTTGGATTTCCCAGTCAGAATTATAGAATAGGGCATGAAGGAACATTTAATTTAAATTAGAAATCGGCCTAACATCTTTTTAAAAGCTCATTAATTCATCAAGACTTTGGACTGTCTTAAAAAATAGCTGCAAATTATACTTGTGTTAATAAAAATGCTCAAGGTGATTGGGAACATTGATTCTTTCATTTGGCAAACATTTACTGGCTGCCTTATGATAGGTTCTTCATGGAACTGTGTATATACCAAACTAAATATTGGGTTGGCCGAAAGGTTTGTTTGGTTTTTTTCCATATGATGGCTCTAGTAGCACATAGTTGTTTTTAACTTTTTTGAAACAATTTTGTTAGATTGTATTGTGACAGCTGTCATATCAGTGTGCATTTAAAAAACATCAAAATTGGTGAATTTTTATGTGTCATGGAAGAAAATAAGTGACATTTTTGGCATATTATGCTGTATTATTTCAAGAAAGGTAAAAACACAACTGAAATGCAAAAAATCTGTGCAGTGTATGGAGACGGTTCTGTGACTGATCGAACATGTCAAAAGTGTTTTGGGGGGGGAAAAAGTGGTTTGGGAAGTTTTGTACTGGAGATTTCTTGCTGGGTAATACTCCATGGTTGCGTAGACCAGTTGAAGTTGATAGTGATCATATCAAGACATTAATTGACAATTCAACATTATAACATGCAGGAGAGAGCTGACATATTCAAAATATGCAAATGAATAAAGTTACTGGTGAACATGAAAAAGTGTCTTCTATTTTATGGAAAAAACTAAGAGGACTTTTTGGCCAACCCAGTAAGGTAGAGGACTTCCCTATTTTCGGCCTTGACCCTGGACTGCGGCATGAGCGCATGAGCGTAGCGGAGACCCCGCTGTCGTCATCCAGTTAGAGGGAAGCTGTGCTTTTCTCAACCCAGAGGCAGAGAGCCTTGTCCAGAGGAGCCAGCACAAGTGGGAGAAATTTCTTTCAAGTCTCATGTTCTATTTTAAAAATTCACGTAAATTTTATGTTCTACTCTGTAATATTTATAGCTGTGGTTTGTAATTGTTGTGGTTTTTTTTAAATTTATTGATTTTAGACAGAGAGAGAAACATCAATTTGCTGTTCTACTTACCGGTACTTACACATTCATTGGTTGTTTCTTATATGTGCCCTGACCAGAGATTGAACCCACAACCTTGGCGTATTGGGATGACACTCTAAGCAGTGGAGCTAGCCAGCCCGAGCTATAGCTGTGCTTGCTTGCTTGCTTGCTTGCTTCTTTATTTCTTTCTTTTCTTTTTTTTAGCCATACAAATGAATTATTTTCCCTTAAAGGAAAGAAAGAAACCCCCACACACACAGTCCTTATTCTCAAGAAACCTGCACAGTTTAATATTTGTTTTGGACCACAGAAAAACTATTTACAACAGTTTTTGGTAATCCTTGCTAATATTATTGAAAATTATTTTCTTTCAGGCTCATTTATTTGACCCTGCTCCTTTAGATTCATACTATAGGTTATGAGTTAAATGCTTTTACTCCCTGAATAAGATTGCATTTTGTCGATGATTTTTAGGTGGTAGGGCCATGAAACTTTTGATCTTGTGAGAGAAACAGGACACATACACACACTGTACTAGAACACGAGGACAGTGAGGGCAGAGATCTTTGTTTTGTTCACTGATATATCCCAAATGTCGAATGATAAGTATTGTGGAATGGATGACTCATTTGAAAAATGTGTAGAGAGAACTGTGTTATTTTTCATGTAACTAATTATACTGTATGAAAAATAGACTGTAGATCAGAGCACAAAGTACCAAGTGAAGTTACTCTGGAAAAGTTCAAAACGGAAGATTTTTTTAATCAAGTTCTGATGGAGAAGGCTAGTAAAGATGGTCATTCATGAATAGAAAACCGAATCATTTGAGTTTTTTATTTCGTTGGCCTACCGACATTTGCACAGTGATTTTTTTCTTTTCTAAAAGACTTATTTATTTTTACAGGGAGGGGAAGGGAGAGAAAAAGAGGGAGAGAAACATCCATATGTGAGAGAATTATTAGTTGGTTCCCTCTCTCACACCCCTAACTGGGGACCTGGCCTGCAACCCAGACAGGTGCCCTGACCAGGAATTGAACTGGTGACCGTTGGGTTTGTGGGACAATGCCCAGCCCACTGAGCCACACTAGTCAGGGCTACAACGATGTTTTCTTAAAATAAAAGATAAATTTCTGTCAAGAATAATGGCAACTCCCAGTGGGAAATTGCTTTAAAAGAATGGGCAGTAATCTTTTGGCAATAGAGAAGATGAAATGAGAGGAAGATAAACTTAGTGTTTGTATCTTTTGTAGAGAACTCGGCAGTCAGGTGTGAGCATGCCTGACGCCGCCACACCAGAGCTGGGAATGAAGACTATAAAAGTAGAGCTATTTTTGTTTGCGTTTGAGTAGCTTAGGAAACAAGGCCCTTTCTGTGTTCCATTGAAACAGTTCCCCCTTCTACCATTCTACCCTCCTCCCATGTTCTGATTTGTTCTGTTTTCAGTGGTAATGTGTTGCCTCGGGGAGAGGTTATTTCTAGAAGAGGATGGGAGATGTTTGAAGTGCTGCCTTGTTTCTCCAGTCTAGGTTTACAGAAAACACTACTTATCCGGGGTGCTGTGTACATTGGTGGGAACCACAGTCCACAATAAGCGATGAGTATGTGTAGCATGTGTGACAGGCAGTCACTCCCCTAACCATGGAGATGAGTGGACATGGAAAATGGTGCTTGTGAGGCTGTTTTAAATGGAGCTTTCCTTCTGCGAGGAAAGGACTGCTCAGTAGATTTGACTGAGGCCCATGACAGAATATGTCTCTTGCTAGTGACCTGATTTCTGTGTTGCTTTACTTTAATTAGGTTTGGTTGAATTTATTTAAAAATCTAAAGTAAGGGCCCTAAAGAAAGGAGTGTTCATTTTTCTCTCACTGAAGTGAGAGCCACTTCTAGGCAGTTCAGAGCTGGTGTGCCAGTGCCTTCCAACTCACCTTTTCACCTCGTCATTAGGTCTTTATCCTCATGTTTCTGGATGGCAGTTGGAGATCTCTGCCCCATCCAAATCCTAGGCAGCAGGATGGGGAAATGAACTGAAGAAAGGAGCAAAGGGCTTGCATGCAATTTTATTCAGTGACTACTGAGTGAAGACTGAGCTTTCTAATACATAAATTGAAAGATTATTTTATAGGCTCTGCTGTCCAGGTGCACCTTCAGAACAGATGTGTACAGACATCTATGATTGACACCTGTGAAAGCACATGATGCCACACCCGTGATATTTTTTTTGGCCTTCGCCAGCTGGAGGACTGATTCATAATATTGAGTTTTTGTGGCACTTTTTTTTTTTTATGGCCAGTGGCTTCAGGGAAAGCCAGAAAATCCACCCACTCATTCTCATTTGCTCTCCCCACCCTTTTCCCCTCCCAGCTTAGTCCTTTCTAGGAGGGCAGACCCACCTGATTTGCAGTTCCATGGGAAAGGGATGAGCACAGCATGGAGTCAGTTTGTTCCTCCTCTGGACGTTTATTCTGGACACGCCCACCATCAGCCATTTCTCTTTCCTGCTTTTAGTCATTCTCTGGTGACTTCCCTCCCTTCCTTTACTGCAGGGCTGGGAGCAGCGCCATGATGCACCGGTGCCATACGTGGAGCCGGCAAGATTCTCCGTGCTCAGAGCTTCACTCCTGTGTCCCTGATGGTAGAGGTGTTAGGGAAGCTCTGGTCCATCTCCAGAGATGTGAAGGGACCTACTTGTCCCAGGCTTGTTAGCAGCTAATTATCCTGATTCCCAGCCTGGGGGCATGTAGAGAAATGTCAGTCCAGAGTGAGATCTTTTTCAGATGTTTGTAGGGCCAGGCCTAGGAAGCTGTATTGTGGTGGGTTTTCTTCTGCCCCAAAACCTTCCTTAATAATGGTGCACACATTGAAGTGAGCTCCATTGTATCTTCTAAGAAAGACCATCTTTTATGAGGTGCCAATCTTGCAGGTGTCCTTGGAGTGTGTGTATCAACATTTATTAGATAAAGTAGCTGAAGGCCATTAGGTTTTATTCCAAGAATGAAAAAACAGTGTTCTTCCTATTACCCAGTGTTGTTCTTATTATGAATTAATTAGGAATAGACTTTGATTCACAGAAGAGACAGAAAATGAAGGTTTGAAGGGAAACATTTTTTTAGTGGCACCCCTTCAATGTGCTTAAGTTCAATCAGTACAGAAGTAGTTTGAAAAGGATGTGGATTCCATGTATAACACAGATTTAATGGTGAAAATTCAGATATATGCTGTGAGGCTGAATCTTCTAGCTGTGCAGGGGCTAACCCAGTGGAAAACTAAAGGTTCCTTCAGGCCCTCTGGGAACTAACTCATCTCGGAGCTTCTCTCTGTCCCGATACTCTTTTATTTAATTTGTGGCAATTGAGGAAACTCTGTTTGGGATTAAGTTTTTATTACAAAAAGCCTAGCATTTGGGGGGTATAGCATTGCTTCCATGGGGAAACAAGGTACCAGCCAGCCCCATGTCTTTGATAGTGAAGGAAAGACATCGTTTGTACAGGCACTCACATCCCTAGCTCTGCAGCATCAAGTAGCAGCACTGCATTCTGCAGTCAGGCCTGATGCGCAACTTGGCTGAAACTGATCGAGTAACCGAACACAGGCAATGAAATGACCTGAATAACTCAGTTTCTTTCTAGTAAATTAATCTTAGGGAGTATCATGGATAAGGCACCTTTGAACACAGCTAATTTGGCTTGACATCGTTCCCTTAAAGGCTCTATAAGTAATTGCCTGCTCTAGGCATGTCTAGGCAGCTGCATTTTAATTATGTGTCCCCACCAAAAGGTACAAATCGTGAAAATGATACTGAAAATAGCAGAGCACCTGAACCATTTCACAGAGATTTAACATATTGATAGAACTGCGCGTATTCGGCTATAACCCGTTTCAACAGGATCTTCAGGGAGATTGTTAGCAGGCTAGTGGAGCACCGGCCCCAAAGGACCTGAGCACCTGAGAAGCCACCTTGGTTGACGGTAGCATCCCAGTGAGGCAGCGTGTTATTGTGAAAGGCAACAGCAGTGGATTTCTGTGGGTGAAACATTGTCATGACCAGTACTTACCACATGACTTCCTAGTGTCTTAATCCAAATTAGGTAAGCAGTAAATTTTGGTTGAATAAACCGAAAGGGATTCTGCCTTTCAAAAATAATAGCAACTATGGATTAAAAAGAAAAAAATTGTTACTTGCCTTCCCATGGTTACCTGGTATAAACTGACTTCTTACTACCTTTTTTTTTCTTGGCAGGTTCATATAAGTACCACCGGGTTGATTGTGACCCCACCCCCAAGCAGCCCAGTGACAACTGGCCCTTCGTTCACATTCCCATCAGATGCTCCCTACACAGCTGCGCTTGGAGTGAGTATAGTTCCTCCCATCTCTGTTTGTCTTTTAGGTATTAGTCACATTACTCTGGCGCATTCCACCTCCTAACACCTGCAGTTTACATGACACTTGCTAGGTGGGGTGTATCTTTTATCTATTATCTCTGCTGAACTTAGAACAAGATTAGAAAGTCTCTTGCCTGCGGCCTGCAAAAAAATTTTCACAGTGAGGGTCAGTGGCCTGAAGCTATTGGAAGAACTCTGTAAAATACTTTTAATTTTCATTATAGTTCATCCTGATTTCCTGAAGGCTTAACCTATATTTCTTTTGAGTTTGTAGACCTTGCTTACTTTTTACAAAGACACATTAATAGAAATACTGAGGAAGCTGGGATCCCCTAAGGCTAAATGGTTTTCTTCAGTCCCACGCTAAGTTGATTTAAAATCTCTACAGTTATGATTCGCCTTTTTTAGTTTCTTGTCTTCTGTGGGTATAGCCATGGCTGCCCAAAGGTCCCTGCTGCCTTGGAAGGCCCCTCAAATTATGTAGATTTTCTTTCTGCAAACATAGCATCCTACAGGCAGAATCTAAACACTAATTGCTTTAAAACATTCTAAAGGGGGAAATTAATAGGAAGAAGGAGGGCAGCCAAGGGAGGTAAAAACAAAGAAGAAACACTCTGGAGAGAAAATTAAAAGGGAAAAAACAAGCAAATGCAACCTTAGGTAGCTGAAACACAATGGCTTAAATCCATTTTTCCTAAAATCACAGGCAATTGAACTGCAAGGGGCCGGCCATTGTGAGACATCTCTCATCTAGGCCAATGCGTTGGCTCATGCTTTCAGACTGTTTCAGTGCTGAGTTGAAAGGGGATAGAAAAGATCCCCACATCAGATGTGTCCAGTGGACCGCGCCCCCATAAACTGTTTTACCCAATCTCCCGATTGTGATGTTGTCAGAGAAATGGTGTGACCGGTGACGGGGGCCCAGAGCTGGGTCGGAAGCCTCAGTCGGCCACTGATGTTACAGGACCATGAAACGTCGCCCGGCCTCTTTCAGCCTCCATGGCCCTGCATATACAATGAGACTGATAATAGTACCTACTTCCGAGAGTTAGTGCCACACCTACAGTGTAGAGAGAGGTGACTATTATTGCTCCTGTTATTAACCTCTACTGAGGACTGTTTCAAGGTGGGCCTGTAGCATGTGCCACTGGTTTACTCTATGAATGCCTTGGAGGGCCTGGCTCATTTTGTTACAGGTTTCCCTGCGCCCTATACCAGGAACAGTGAGGCTTCTAAGCAGCTGGTTTGTTTTTAGATTGTGGATTTAATATATGTTGTAAAGATTATAGTTCCCTCTGCTAGAATGCTTAGAGTCGAATTGGTACCCTTCTTCAGCTAAGACCGCACAATGTTGTGAGTTAAAATGTTGGCTCCACCTAGTTTTATTGTCCTCATTTTCCTTTTGCCTCATTTTTCCTTTTATATTTGTCTTGGTACATGTTATGAATCATTGAAAACTGACTTTGAAACAAAGTGGGATATAAATAAATGCAGTTGGAACCGAGCTTGACTTAGACTTTCGAAAATGTTTTATAGAGTTAAGCATGTTCTTGTTTTTAAGTGGAAGTTAATAATGTTCTGGTTAAAGGTTAAAGGTTTTTTTTGTTGTTTTTTTTTAATGTTCCTAGAATGATTATAGCTTCCTCAATAGTATAAGAGTTTGGTGCAGGAGGATACGTTGCATTGAGACATCTGGGGAGAAGATGAAATTCAGTCAGCTTTCGGGAATGTAGTTCCCTGACATTCTGGTAGCCCTTGGGTATTTTGACCAGAGCCAAGTTCTGTTAACCTCCTGCCCTCTCACCGCCAGAGAAGATTCTTTTTTCCTTCCTCCTTTTTCACCATCAGTTGGCATTCCTCTTTCCAAAAGACTACTTAACATGGGAACGTTCTAACTTGATTTCCTAAGGGGAGAAAAAACTGACTTTGCGGATCTTAGAAAAATTAATTAGTGGAGAAGACAGAGCTGGCTGAGTTTCACCCTCATGAGCTAAAAAATTTACGATATAGTAAATGGCCAGTTGCTCTTAGTGGGAGGTACACTCCAGGGCAAATCAATGGGACCTGTCAGAGGAGAGCACGAACGTACAAAAAGTAATTTACATTCAATGATTTATCCTGGAGTTATAGAAGAAAGCTTCATGTTAAGCAAGAGGAAGGTCTATTAAATGGTATGTCTACTGTGCCAATTTCACTAAATGAAAAACTAATTATAAACAGACATGTCTGTCATCCCAGGAGATGTCTAGATCTCAAAGCTTCTGGTAGGTTGGCAGAGATGTTGTGCATCTCATATGTTAGGTTTACTTGGGGAAACATCTCAGTGGCATGTGCCCTCTGCATCTCTCATTAACCATGGCAAGTGTCCTTTATAAAATTTGAAGTTTTGCCCAAGATGTTGAGCACTATCACAGCAATAGCATGCAGCTTGGTAGGATGGAAACCGTACTTTTCGTGGTGTGGACTTATGGGTAATAAATGCCACTTCTAGACTAGAAATTGAACATTATTTCTAGTACTTTTTATGAATTGAGACTATTTAATCTTTTATGCCAAATGAAGTTATGAACGTATTGTCTCATACATCTCCCATGGAACAGTTAAAATGTTAAATATCTAATATTAGAAACAAAACTGTTATCATGTCTAGCTAATTCAGATATCAGTCTGTTAATAGTAGTGAGGGTTTTTTCCAGCTAATTTTTTGAGGGGAAGAGGCTGAAGCTCTTAGTCTTGAATCTTCCATCCAATGGTAGAAGAGCTTTTTCAACAAGTGATTCATAACCCTTGATCCTCTGTGCCAGCTGAGAGGTTTAGCTGTAAGATGTCATAGGATGCCCAAGTCAATAAAGGCCAAATCTGACCCATAGACAACTTATAAACAGATCGCATTACAAAAATGTCTAACCCTAACTAAAAAAGTTTTACACACGCACATGCACACACGCACGCGCACCTTGTTTAAAGAAATGAGATTAAATGATATCAGGTTCCCAGAAGAGCCAATATGTGAGTAGTTCATTGCAGCCTACAGCAGAGGCCAAACAAAATTTACTGCTGTCGACGGGATCGGGGGAGGCCTTTGGAAGGGGAAAGATAAGCCTGCCAATCTTGGTAGTTTGAGAGGAAGAAAGAGAGCCTTTGGACTTGGCAGGAGAGGGGTAGGACAGACCCAGCAGCAGTGCGCCCTGCCCGTGTCCTGGCGTCCAGCCTGCCCCGAGAGAGGGCACTTCTTTCCTGCTGCTCGCTCCCAGAGCGGGGAAGCCAAGGACTGCCGTCCCAGACTGCGCCAGGATTAGGACCTGCGTCTTTCCTTATCCCAAAGCCCATGCTGCTTCTACCACGTAAAGTTGCCTCCTCTTTGAAGATCAGTGGGCCGTGGAAGGGAACCCAGACATGGCACAGTATGACCAGTTTACCTTAGCAGACCACTACTAAGTCCTGTTTGTGAGCTAAGTGTCATTCAGAAATAGTCATTCTTGCCTCAAATCATTACCACATACTGGTAAACGGAAGGTCTGAATCTATGAAAGCACAAACAGGAAACTCATTTTTAATGAATATCAAAATAACATCCAGTTTTCTACACCAGTATTTCTGTGGCCTGGGCCACAGCTGTGGACAGCTTTACTTTGATGAAATAGACTTGTTGCATTTCCATAAAACAACAAGTGATGAGCACCGTTTAAGCCCCTATTAATTTGGCATGTAGTATCCAGTGAATATGGCATTTAAATATGGTATCTGATTCTGTACAATAATAAGGTAACAAAAATATGGTTAGCACCCTGTTACCTGTGCTCCTGGCTCAGGACCATAGATGTTGTTTTTTCCTGCTGGCGGGGCGTGCGTCTTGGCCCCTGGAGCCGGGGCCAGCCCGGGCTCTGAAATAATAGACAGGTCTCTAGGTCAGCTCTGGGTGAATGCAAGGCTGTGGTTTGCTCTGTAGGAATGTTAGGTCTTGCAGGAAAGCAAGCTGCCTGAAGCAGAGCACACAGCGGATTACCTTTTGAACTTCCACATCACCAGATTATTCCAGTTTAGGTTGTTTATAAAGCAACCCACAGAACTTCCTAGTCGGTCACAGCCCTGGGCTCGCAAGAGCCCTATCACTTTACCAACCCCGCAGGGCTGAGCAGCATCTAGGAATCTGATTGTAATTGGACTTTCTCTCTTGGTCTTTGTGTGCTTATATACCCAGGAGTACACATGCACACACATGTGCACTTTTCTCCAAAGATAGGTAACCCAGCATTGGGGGAGAATCTGCCCAATTTTGTTAAGATCATCTGTTTCAACCATATAAAGGGAATATAACTATTTTCTCTCAAGCACAACCTTTGCGAGCTTTTAGAATATCGTCTTTATCTATATTTCAAATGCCTACGGCTTACTCTTTGTAAAAGTCATGTGCATGAAACATTTGTTTACTCTATTTGTTAACTATGAGAGGTGACCTTTTTTTACATTTTGGTAACAAAATGTGGCACATATTTTTATCAGGCCTAAGGATGTCCTTGCCTCCTCCTTCTTGGAACCAATTTAATACATCCTCTGTTTTAATAAGTTAAAATATAACAGGTGACTCTAATTTCCTTTCCTCTTGAAAATGCCATCCTATGTAGGATGTGAAATAGAGCTTTTTGGTTCTGTGGCTTCGGTGCTACGTTAAGTAATTTCTAGGATGGTTATTGCTGAGCACATGTCATTTGTCTTCTGCCTTTCCACAGCTGCGCTGTTTTGAAATTGGGCTTAAAAAGATTTAAATGGAAATCAGTTAAGTGGTAATTTTACAGTCTCTGTATATTATTGGATGTATAGTCTAGACTTGTTATCTCACCTGTCAAGCCACTGGTGTGTTATTACCCATCTACTGCCCAGGTCGCACATTTGCTGAGTATTTTACTAAGGGTTAGCTTTACTTCTCTCTACTTTGTCTCTGGAAGGAGACCAAATGCAATGACTGCTTGACCTTCTCCTGGTTAAAGGATTGGAAGGCTCTAAGCCCAAGTCTATGCACATTCCAAAGCTGTAACAAATCTGAATGCTGCCGTGTTTTGTATGGAGAACATGAATAACGTTCACGAAGTTCTGACCTTCTGAGCTGACCTCCGCCTCATCCAGGTTAGCACTCTGTAAGCAGCTCTACGCCTCATTTATTTCTGCTCTGACTCCTGCAACAGCCTGAGCTGCTGTTTGGGAAAAATTCTTCCCGAAAGTCACTTTAGCAAGAAAATTAAATATAAAGTGTGAAACAGTTGCAACATATGTCTAGAGTTTTGAAATTTTTTTCTACTCAGTTTGTTTGTGGAACTATGCACATTAATAGACAGATGAAGTCAGTGTTGATGAGATTCAAGTTTTTATTCCAAAAAATAGACATGTCTATTATGAACTATGTTTAGAAGTCATTGGATTTTTCTTACTAATATGCTGATGTATCAAAGCCATTTATGCTTTCCTAGGTGCATTCTTTACTCTTCTCATTTCTCCTTTGATTCAGTTTTTACATCTAGTGGTTCAAAGATTTGGGGAGGGCGAGGTGGAGGTTCAGGCAGGTCTTTGTGTGCCTGTTTTCCCAGGAGTTTCGGTATACAGACCCTAAAGAATTATCTGGGGTTTATAGATCAGAAGGTAACAATTGCTCCATTGATTTTCAAAAGGCATGGAATCCTGTAGGCAGAACCCCATTAGTCTGTGCCCATAAAAGAACCAGCAGCTTTTCACTGGTGTACTTGTTAAAGATTACCAGCCTTGATAGTCCTAAATTTCAAAAGCTGGCATAGTTCAGAAGAGAATAAGCAAAAGTAGCAACAACAGCCCAGTGATTGTGGCTTGCTATTGTTGGGGCTTTTTGGAGACCAAGCATCAAAGGAAATTTTCTTCTGAAGGCATGGTTTGAGATACAGTGCAGCCCTATTGTTTAGTGTTGTGTGTAAGTTTCAGGTTACAGAAACAATCACAAATTAATTCCTAGCAAGCAGTGTGACATTATAGCTGCCTCCTTGAAAGGCATTTGAGTTCTTATCCAAGTCTATTCTTAAAAGTATTATTAATCTTTAAATTGCATGTGACTTCCATTTTTTTTCTTTCCCTCCTCCCAAGTGTGATTACTTACCTGTTTGCTGAAAAAGGTTGCTGTGGCTTTAAGATCTTGTAAAAGAACAAGATAGGAGTTTTCTTTTGTTTGTTTATTTTAAGGAGGCTTTCATACTAGGTAGCCTGCTGGTTCTGCTCTGTTTGGATTACATTAAAGTCTTTTTCCATTTCTGATTCCTTTTCCTTCCCACCTTGCATAAGAGATGTAAATAAGTGTTTTGTCCCTTTTTCCCCCCTCTGTTTCTTTCTTATACCAGACTCTGAATCCTCCCCTTCCCCCGCCCCCTCTCCTGGCCTCCACGCCACCCGGTGCTGCTGCTGCTGCCGCTGCTGCTGCTGGTATGGGACCGAGGCCCACAGCGGGACCCGCTGACCAGATCGCACATTTACGACCTCAGACTCGCCCCAGCGTGTAAGTGAGGGTGTCATTTATTACTGCTGAAACGTTCATTTCAAACTAAGCTCAAACAGCAGAGGTAGAGAAACATCTTTCTGATACGAGCTGGTGACAGGCTTATGGCTCACCAAAGTGGTTTGTGTTCTGCAAACTTCTACCCAGTCATGCATATAACTAGGAAACTGCTGAAACAAAATGGGCCTAATACAGGAGCTCACTGGGCAGCCATCCTGCTGAGGGAAGGCTGTTCGTAGTTAAGGGGACCATAGCTGTTTGCTTCTTCATAATGTTAGATGTGGATGGAACTGCCTTTTGAGCCTTTTGTCTCCATTTTTGTTCTTGCATTAGGACACTAAGGAATGGGAAGGCATTCTACACAAAGCAGATAGAGTTGTCCGTAGTTGGCATGGGAAAAGCTGTAAACCCCCAACAATAAGTATCCAGAAAGGTCTGGTTGTCTTGTTCAGAGTTTATCCGTGGCAGAATGCAGCTAGATTTTTGTGGATCTTACATTGTGTGAGTTTATACAGTACATGGAACAGTTGAGAGCCCTGGTGAAACAAGTGGTTAGCATAGCCTGCCTGGTTTCCATATGCTGGGGAGCATAGTCGCCTTGCATTACGGGGTTGTTTTGTACTCTCTGTGATCTGGACTTTTATTTCCCTTTGACTTTTTCAAACTCAGTAATGTTCCTGGCTAAGCACATAAAAGCAGGTGCAGCCCAAGCCTCGAGGTTCAGCTTGTGTGTGGAAGGCAGCTTGTTGTGCTTCCCAGTGGGACTTTTTACCATATGTCCTCATTTGGGGCTACTTCCCGAGTCTAACAAGTGCCATTTAAAGAGCTCAATTTTCCCAGTGGGTACCTAATTTCCAGCAGCAGGTTAGGCACTCTGGGAAGCTGCATTAATTCTTTCACACCCAACAAATACCATTTGGTGGGGATAGTCACCTTCACACTGGGAGGACCTGGTTGGCAGTTCTTAATCAGGAGGGCCTCTGTCTTTTAAGTGTGGATAGGAAAACCTTTTTCAATGGATAAGTGCCAATACTATGTACAGGTTAAAGGATTTTACTTTCTGTTTACGTTTGTACAAGATATTCAAGACGATATCAAGGATGAGTTTTGAGCATCTTGGATTTTGTCTTTTACTCAGCCCGAAATCAAATATTCTTTCTATTCTAGGTATGTTGCTATATATCCATATGCTCCCCGGAAAGAGGATGAGCTGGAGCTCAGAAAAGGGGAGATGTTTTTAGTGTTTGAACGTTGCCAGGATGGCTGGTTCAAAGGGACGTCGATGCATACCAGCAAGATAGGGGTTTTCCCTGGTAATTATGTGGCACCAGTCACAAGGTATGGTTTTGAATAAATAGTTAACTAAGTTCTAAACAGAGAAGCTTTGTTCTTTCCCATGGCTCTCAACCTATCCAGATTCCTTCACATGTTATAATTGCCTATTACAAGCCAACATTTAAAAAATCCATATCTATGTTTGCTGAGATCCCTTCTGACTTTAAAACTCTTAGCTTACCATTCACATGGATGTATGTGAAATTGTAGTTTGTACGAATAAATGTACTGGGTTTTAAGTTACTTGATTAAGTAATATGTAGAGGACTCAACTAGACCATTTTCCATATTTTTCTGCTTGAAAATGAAAAGTATAATGTTTAGTATAAACAAAAGCTATATTATTAATACTTACATGTTTCTATCATGCTTACTATGTGCCAGGCAGGCAGATTTCTAAATGCATTGCACATATTAACTCTAAGTCCTTAAACAACTCGTTGCTGTAGTTTCTGTTATTATCCTTACTTGATAGATAAGGAAATGGAGGTACAAAGAGATTATATAACTTGTCGGAGATCACGTAGTGAAGAAGTGCTCAAACCCAGGTGGTCTGGCTTTATATTCCAGTAGCTTGATTCCTTCTGAATTTTGGCAATTATTAATCATTTCTGTAATACAGACAAATAAAATTCCTTAAATATAACATAGATCCTTTTCCTTCTTAACTGAAGGTGATTTTGCTCCCCGGGGGAAAAATACGGTTACATTTTTGATTGTTGTTATGGGAGGGGAGGTTGAGAGAGACGTTGCTGTTGGCATCTAGTGCATAAAAGCTGAGGATGCTTCTAGAGATCACAGGACACAGGACAGCCTCCCATAGACAGGGATTGTCTGGCCCAAAATGTCATTGAGGCTGAGAAACCCTCTTATAGGGTAATGGGAAGTAAGAGCTTTAAGATAAACAAAATGTTTATTTTATTTAGAGAGAAGTCCACCTTCTGGTTGCTGAGGAAAGTAGCCTTGGAAACTGAATGAAATGACCTATAATGGCATCAGCATTGAGAGAACCTCAGTTTTTGGCCACTGGGCTCTTAAGTAGTCCAGGTTTAACTGTGTTAAATCATTCCCTAAGCCCTCTGATTTTGAATAAATGGCTTAATGAATTGACATGTTTGTCAGATGTTGGCCTTGATTTATAGGTTGGCCAGCAGCCTAATCAAATGAAAATCAGTGTTGCTGCAGATGGTGACAGGACGCTAGCTTTAATTAGACTTGCAGATTTTTAATCAATATAAACCTTCCTTTCTGTGTATGTTAAAATCTGTGTTCAGGATCCGGAAGATGGTAGATAGACCCTCCCTGGTGGAAATAAAAAACAAAAACCACAAAAACAAGTAAGAGAAGTAAACCAAACAGCAACAAAATATTAAGTTAATAAAAGAAAAAATTTTTGTAAGACTCAAAAACAAAGTATTTAAGGCCTCCAGAGAGATGCCTAGAATTAATTCTTTGTTATTCATCATGGTAAACAATAAGGACATTCAAATTTAATCAAGTGTTCAACTTAGTAGAAAGTTACTATAAATAGAATTGTTGTTTCAATGAATTTAGGATCTCAAAAAAATTACATTACACAAAACTATACCAAACCTAATTTAATTACATTCAACCAGCAAGTATTTGTTTAGAGCTGCCTCTACCACTATAACTACAAATCCTGGAGCAATGGAAAAGAACCATTTCACACTAGCCCTGTCATCAAGGAACTTTTACTGAGTCAGGAATACTTAATAAGGAATTTACTAAAAAAAAAAAAAATAATACCAAATTTTACGATCAGGGCATAGAATAAAGAGATCCACATGAAATAGAGTCATACAGGCTTAAGCCTGAGCCTGAGGCAAGGCTTCTTGAAATGACGGGATTTCTGCTGGATCTGGAAGCAAAAGTGAGATTAAGGTAAGGGTAAGGTAAGGCAGAGAGGACGTGGCAGAGAGTGTGTGTATATGTGTGTGTGCACACACATGCATGTATGTACACAGACACCTGGGTGATGTGGAGCTGGGGTCAGGTAGGGAGAAGGTCAGAAAATGTGAGCAAGGCCCTGGGAGTGTGGTGATTGTAAGGTGACAAACCTGGCTCCTTGGACAGACAAAGTGGGAGAATCGAGGGCCTTACGTCAGCGGAGAGGTTGGCCTTGCTGCGGAACACCAGGCCCAGTAACTGTATGTTCTTGAACAGAACACGATGTATGGTTTTCTGTGACTCAGAATACATTTCAAGACCTTTCTCTGCCTCAGGGCATTGTTTGAATTTGCTATTCTTAGGCTTTGTAAAAACAGTTCCATTCAGTTTTTAAAATGTTTTGTCTTAAAGCTTTGAGTCTTTTTTTTTTTTTTTTTTTGCATTTAATTGTTCTATTTCCCACTTTGCTGATGGCTGACTGGACTGTCTGTGCTTCTGTCTTGGCAGGGCAGTAACAAATGCTTCCCAAGCTAAAGTCCCTATGTCTACAGCTGGTCAGACAAGTCGGGGGGTGACCATGGTCAGTCCTTCCACTGCAGGAGGGTCTTCCCAGAAGCTCCAGGGCAATGGTATGGCTGGGAGTCCCAGTCTTGTCCCCACAGCCGTGGTGTCAGCAGCTCACGTCCACACAAGTCCGCAGGCCAAGGTCTTGTTGAACATGACGGGGCAGATGACAGTCAACCAGGCCCGCAATGCTGTGAGGACAGGTAAGGAGGAAGCCCGACTGGAAAGGATCAGGAAAGGCAGTCAGCCGCCTGCCTGATAGCAGATCTTTTATGACAGATGTTGAGGAAAGCAGATGTGATATTAAAATAACAAATAACAGGAAATAGAAGTAGGCACAGTGTAGTCAATGGCACTTTACATCTGCTTATTTTGGCTAAACCTGCCCTGCACGTTAATTCAAGCCTGACCTACAGATTGAAAGCCTGAAAGAAATTAGGCTGCTCCTAAGAATATCAATAATATTTGGGAATACGACATCTGTGGTCAAGATCACACGATCTCAAATCTCACCCTGCCAGCTGCGTGTCTACCGCATGGTGGTCTGCTACTCGGTGTGCTGGTGATTTGTTTTGGGAATTTAGTCACAAGTCTATTTTAGACCTATTGCGACCTTACATAGCTTTCTTCTTTCTACAGCATTGAACACCTACCAGGAGTCTTGGGTAACAATGGGAGTAAACGTTTGACTTATATCTGAAAAACCAAAAGAAAGAAAGTGGTTAGGAAGAATAGAGAGAATAATTTTTAAAAAGGACTGGAGGCCACTGTAGTGTGACCATGAAGACTGCCTCAGAAAGGGGCTCCGCATCTCTAACTATGTGGAAAGGCCTTCTTTAACTGAAGGGCCTCAGGGTTACAGCTGAGTTTCCAGGCCCTCAGCAGACGCAAGGGCTGTTTTGGAGAGGAAATGACATCTAGGGACCCAGCTAAGATTAAGTGCTTTTAAAACACCATACATCCATTATTTATTGTAATAAATGCAAGAGCATCCTTTCATTACGGTCTGATGCAATGAAATGACTCATGTTTTGATGAGTAGTAGCATTTACCGGAAAGCTGAATTTTACCATGTTCCCTCCTGTCATTGACTAGTTTTGGCACACAACCAAGAACGCCCTACAGCAGCAGTGACACCCATCCAAGTACAGAACGCCACGGGCGTGGGGCCTGCAGCTGTGGGCCTGTCCCATCATCCCATGGCCTCACCGGTTGTGGTACAACCTCCGCCTCCAGTGGCTGCTGTCAACGTGGGTCGGGCCAGCGGCCCCCTGGCCTGTGCTCCAGCTGCTCCGATGACCTCGCCGAGCGTCGCCTCCGCCTCTCTAGAGACCGAGCCCAGTAGCCAGATAATGGCCATTCTCTCTGGACTTCCCACCTCTCCTGACAGTGCTTCATCCGCTTGTGGGAGCAGTTCAGCAGCCAAACCAGACAAGGATAGTAAAGTAAGACCTACATCCTCTTTCTCTGCTTATGTTTTGTCCTGTCATTTCTACTCATGAAAGGACCCATTCAGCGGCCCTTCAGGTGCTTACCATGCATAGTCACTGTGCAGGTCCCAGTTTCATGTTTCTCCGCATTTGAACACCCACTGGTTGCCAGGCCCTGTATTAGATGCTTAGTCACTTCTTCATCTGCAGCTTACGTCTTATGGAGAAATTCTCTTCCCCCTTACTCACCCTTTCATCATTTTGCTGTCCTTAATTCTTCCTGTCCAGCCCGTTTCGTTTCTTGTCAGAAGGCCTGCAGTGTGTATGTGTGTGACATGCAGTGGCGGTGAAACTGTTGATCAGAAGTATTATTTGTGGATTTATTTTTTCTCCAGTGTGCTTGATTATAATCAGCATGGATAGTTTTTCTCTTGACTTGAATTATACAGGAAAATTATTTTGTAAATCCATTGGTCTTTTTCAAATCTCTCATTTGGGGCTGAATTTCAGAGAACACATAAATGGAAAGCTGTGTTGGAAAGACTAATCTATGGTTGAGTTCAGAGACAGGTGGTTGGATGCGAGGGAAATTGATGATGATTTTAGGAATTGATGAAAGAGAAGAATGATAACAGAGTCTGGATAATTGTATTATATTCATGACCTTTTCCTCAGTATGTCATGCATTTCTCCTTTTATACAATAAAACCCAGTACTAGGAAGCTCTAGGGTAATCATAAACTCTTAGCCACCTGGTTCAGCGGTAATAGATGTCGCTCTATTTAAAAAGTTAGGTAAGCCTGTAAACAGGGGTTTATAAGAAAATAAACTTTACAGCCTACTAAAAAGTTAATATTTAATTGTTGGGTTAACATGAGTGTTTTTGAAAAAGATTGGTATCTCTTCAGCGTTTGTAATTAACTACATTAAACTTGTACTCAAGCTGACATGTTCAACTTTGTCAATATTTTTAAAGGAATTATTCTGTAGTGTAAACTTTAAAGTTTTGGGACAGTGTGTCTCAGAGCCCTTGTCACTGAAGAGAACAGGGATTCTTCAGCCCCTGCCCTCCCAGAAAAGAATCCATGGACTCTCTGAGGCTTGGAAGGGACCTGGGCTAGGCAGAAAAATGGCCCCCGAAAGATGTCCATGTCCTTCCCCTGAAATTTGAGAATACATTTCCCTCCATAGCAAAAGGAATGTTACCAGTGTGATTAAATTAAAGGTTTTAAAGGGATTATCTTGGATTTTCAGGGTGGGATGACTATATAATCACAAGTATCTTCATGAAGGGGAGGCAGGAGGATCAGGGCCAGGGAAGATGTGACCTCAGAAGCAGAGATCAGAGTGATTCAAGGAAGGGGCCACAGCCAAGAAGTGCAAGTAGCTTCTAGAATCTGGAAAAGGCAAGGAAACAGATTCTTTTCTAGGGCCTCCAGAAGCAATGCAGCCCTGCCAACACCTTGATTTTAGGACCTGATTTTTACCCTGTGTAGTAAATTCATACAGGACCTTACGCAGATATGCTATTGAGTACCCATTCTTGACAAATGGCCACTGGCCTCTGTTTGGATACCATATTGACCACGAGCACCCTAGCTCCAGAGTGTCCCATGCCATTTTCTTTGTTTTAAGATGCTATGTGGAAAACGCTGGTCTCCTTTCTATAGGATACCTTAAGGTATTTCAGGGTTATCTTCTGTGTGTGGATACATTCTTTTATTTTTTTTAAAGATTTTATTTATCTTTAGAGAGAGGGGAGGGGAGGGAGAAAAACAGGGAGAGAAACGTTAATGTTTGATTGCCTCTTGCACACCCCCTATTGGGAATCTGGCCTGCAACCCAGGCATGTGCCCTGACTGGGAATCGAACCAGTGATCCTTTGGTTCACAAGCTAGCACTCACCCCACTGAGCCACACCAGCCAGGACATATGTGTGGATACACTCTTGAAGTTTTTTTTCTTTACTGTTCTTTGTGTCACAGGTAACAAATTTTTCTTTCCTAAATCTACTACCTCATTTGATGTTCCAAGTCCATTAAAGAGACTTTTCCTGATTGATGTAAATTCAGTAATTCCGTGATTAACAAGATTGGGGTGTCATAGCCCACATTTCTCCATCCTGTCTACAAGGATATCATGGAAGAACTTCTCTAATCACTGTTGAAATCAAAAGTCTTTTCCATTCTCTCATCCAAACAGTTCCCCAGTGACCCCATCGTTTTGGCTGTTACTTATTGTTAGCAAGCAGGAGTCTCCTCCTCAGAGTCTCATTTCCTTTCCTAAGTAAATCTTTCATTAACACATTATTCTAGAATTTTCCAGATGGTCTGCAAAGTGCATTGTTGTCTTCTTTTTGAAAATTATGACTACACATGCCCTTCTTTTGCCTGTTGAATTGACCTGATCCCAGACTCACCAGGATCTGCAAAGATAATTGGTTGCATTTCAGCTGTAAATTTTCTCTGTGCTCTGGGGTAAATTCAGCCTATCAAGAGCAATCATTTGATCTCTAAATCCCAATCTCTTCATCTATTTTCCTCTTATCAAGGTTTGTCCTTCCTTCCCAGTCTGAAGATTATCCTTGCTTTTTTTCATACCATCTGAGAACTACCATCCATCTCAAACAGCAGGTTTCTATCTTTCTTGTTCTCATTTCAAACATAGCTTTAAAGCAGTGCAGGCCCCCACCGCCCCCCCTTTTTTTTTTGGTCTTTAGCATTTTTTGCAACTTTAAGCTCATGTGGGCCATGATTATGTTCTTTCATGAACCTTTCTCTTGATCTCTTTGTAAGAGTCCTTTAAAAATTTGAGCCCATTAGGCTGCTCCCTGGGGAAATCACATTAGTACCTTTAGATGCCTCTACATTTTCATCTGTTGAGGTAATTTGCAGTTGTATGGTTAGAATTTTATTCTGGAGAGCCCTCCCTCTTGAAGTATTTTTCCTTTTGAGTTTCAGATCATGCATATATTTTCTTTGAACTTTTAAAATATATTCTTTTAAACTCTAGAGTTCAAATCTAACTTCTCTTTGAGTACTTACTTATAAGTTCTCAATATTTCTGCTTCAACAGCCGAACATCTTCACCCCCTACCTGGTCTCAACCTTTCCCCCATTTGATCAGAATTAGATCCAAAGTTGCAGTTTGCTCAACTTTCTGTGAGGTTAACTTATCCAAAAGTCAAGGGAAAAGTGTATCAGAGAATCTAGTTTTAGTTGAGACTTCCAGCAAATACTTAGGTGTTTGACAACTCTCTTGTTATTTCTATCTTCTTTTGTCATTTTGTGATCAGCATCACCCATTTACATAAACTCTCCAGGCAGTGCGGGATGTGTCCCCCAAATGATAGCTTGTCGCTTAGCTGCTTCTTTTCTCTGTACCCTGTGCTCTGCTGTGGGCTACCACTGGTGTGCCACAGTGGCGTGTGACTTTCGATGTGCACACAGGACCATTGCAGCTCTACACCTAACTGGGCTATTCCTGCTGAACAATATTTTATCTGGAAGTCCTATATCACAAAGTCTCAGGAAACGTGTGTTTGTCCCTGATTTAAAGTCTCCAGCTAATTTGGCCTGGTAACTGCATTCTGCGATGTGATGAAAAGGTAATGAAACGCTGTAATATCTTCCCAAACATCATCTGTTATTTCTTGGTTGAAATCCTGGGCCTTTTTGCTATTGTTGTTCTTTCTATAAGATTTCTGATATCTTCTACAGTTACCAGTTTAACAGCTTTCTCTGGGCATTTTTCTAACTTCATTTTCAGTTTAAAGTTTTCACTATTCGGTTAGCTAGACTCCACACAAATGTGTTTCTCAATCCTTATGAGATGCTCATGAATATGTATGTATATAGTTGCTGTGTTTTCTTATTATAAAAGTTATATATATTTATTTAGAAGTTAGAGAAAATCCAAACATCCAAACAGAAAACCTAAATATGATCCAAGATTTCAAAGAAAATCATTAATATTGTGTATATATATTTAAGTGCATTTGCTTATTAAAGTTAGGCGGTACCAAACCAGAAGTGGTCAGGAACCAGCGACCAACAGGATTTGGGGCAAGACTTTTACAGAGAAGATAGGAAGCAAAGCAAGGAAATTATTTGATTGACTAGCTTGAGCAGTTGCCTTATTTGGGAAAGCCTTGTTGGCTGCTTATAACTGATCGTCCTTTAGTTTTGACTTCTTAACTGTGAGGCACAGGTTCACGTTTTGGTGTGCCGTTGTAGGATGCTAATGCATTAGAACCACTTCAGTCTAATGGCCGCTAATGAAACCTCTGATGGTTTAATTAATTTAACAGTTTTAACCCTCACATCAGAAAAAGAGAAGAAACTGCCTCTAATTCATTCATTGAGTGTCAATGAATGACATTGTCGTTCATTCCCACAGGAATCAGTAGGAGTGGGTGTTGGTCCTCACGCTCTCTGCCATATCCAGTATGTGTTCCTGCAAGGCAGCATTTCTACAAGGGATCAGCATTTAGTGCCTCAAACCCCACCCCCAAATTCCTGTTGACTTTCTCCCCTAAGGAGTGAACCACAGGTTTTCTTCAATCAGCCTGCTAATGTTTGAAGATTCTTTGCTATTAGTCTTGGTTTTCTTAAGAAGAGGATCCATCTAGTTTTTAAATGCCCATTTTCTTCTATTCTGAACATGTGCCCTGAAGTGCCTACTAATCACTTCCTTTGCTCACACGATCTTCCTTTTTCCCCAGTTCTTGTTTTGCTGTCAAAAACAAGGTGGTCTGTGGGCTTCGCCATTTCACTTCCTTAAGGAGCTCTCCCCTCACGTTAAGTGATCGGAGTCACTGTTGCTGCCCCTGCAGACAGCTGGGACCCAGACTAAGTCTGGACGGCGTGTATCTCCCCCAGTGTTCAGCTCAGAGTGACCTTTGTGATCGGAGCCCTGGGGTGAGTGCGTCTGCTCTTGCCATTGCACAGAGTAGCTGTGCTTCAAGAGGCGATGTCTGCACTGGGCTCCAGGAGAGCGGGGGCCTGGTTCCAGCCATCACTCCTTACTAGCAGTGTGATTTCAGGCAAACTTAGAGAGGTTTAGGCAATGAGAATCACAGTGATACCTGTCTCATCAGGGAGATGTGAGGAATAAATGTGGAAATCCTTATCAATATGTTGGATAACATTTTTGAATCCAGTCGGTGTTAAACCACCTCTACAATGTCACATGGCCTTTCCCTTTCTCTATGCACTTCTTTAAAAAATGCTTTCCTGCCCCCTTCCCAGTTAGCACCCCCCAGTCATTCTCTCTCCCCTTACCCTGCTTTATTTTTCGGCAGAGCGCCCGTTTTACAGCCATGCTGGCGTCTGTGCTAGAGAATGTGAACTGCTTGTTGTGTTGCTCGCTATTTTGTTCCCAGAGCCTAGCACATTGTTAGTTCATATATGACATTCAATAAATATTTGTTGAAACAATGAGTGATTATTAGACAATCATATGAATCAAGCTTTTGAAATTCCTTACCTAAGAATAGCAACCCTCATTACTGGGAGTCTGCCTGAGTAGATTTTTGATGACCAATGGCCTGGAAGATTATTTATCTTTTGCTACTTACTCTGTACATCTGAGGGCAGGAAAATAAGAGGAAGACTTGCGTGGGGAGGGTGTGAATGTGGTTAATTGGCTGTTGCTTATATGAAATTTATTTTTGCTTGGAAAATTGCTCTGACTTGATGTTTCCCATATTGTACTTATTCTCTGTGATGTGACTAATAGAAAGTTATTAAATTGATGTTCAGAAATTATTTTTATATGCAAAAATTACTCTTTCTGGTATCTAGTGATGACTTTCTGATCCGAGTAGTTCTTTTCATTTTTTTTTTTATCTGAGGTGCAGTTTTAAATCATCAAATCTTCTGAAAAGAAAATTATGACTGTAAGTCATTATTTCATCTGAGAATAACTTCTTGGGAAACCCACAAGAGAAGAATCATTAAGGTTTATGTTAAAAGATATGACCCTTATTTTTATGCATGCTAACATTACATTTTAAAAATTGCTTTGCTGAAATGCAGTCTTTACTAATTCATCTGTAGTTTTCATTTCTGCCATTGGGTTTTGAAAAAACAAAGATGCCCTTCGATGACAAGTACCTGAGTTTGCAAAATTGTCTCTCTCATGTGGCACATTGTTCTGCTCACATAGAGAACATCAGAATGGGATATTAAGAGCCCAGCTCCTTGGAATGCTGGCCGTATCTTTTCTGTGTTAACCACCCCCCGCCAACCCTAGCCACACCCCCCCCAACAACACCTAATCCTCTGCCTTCCGCTCCTTGGGTCGTCGGCATCGGCTGATGATGATAACACATCCCCTAGAAGTCATTAAAGCAATCTGTATTTAATGTGTTTAATCATTTTAGATGAGCCAAGTCATCTTTCTTCTTAATCACTTTAGAGGCTGTTCCCTGAGCGCCATTCAGTTAACTGATATTTTTCTGAGTGCCCAGACTGAGCTTTTAAGAAACCTCTTTAGCTGTGGCTTGCTGAGATTGTAATTTATCAGTGGACTTGATGTTCTCAGTACATCTGTAGGGGTCCAAGAATTAGAGAGTGCTTTCTTACATCATGGCAGAAATAGCTGGAAGCTGTGGCTGACTGCTGCTTTCCTTGTGTAAGCCATGGGATGTTTCTCTGTCCCAGCTTATTTTCCGGCCTTCGGCACCTCAGGCCCCCTTAGAGAAGTGTGGCAGCAGCTCTGGCAGGTGTTTCATCCGGCCACTTCATTGGCCATTGTATAGCGGAAAGTCTTTATCACCACTGGGTAATCCAGAATATCCTCTTACTTCTTTAGCCATGGGATGAACTAAATATTTTCGCCTCCTCCTCTTCCAACCTTGGCCTCTCAACTCAGGGGGTGCCAGGAGGCACACTAGGCGCTGGATGTGATCCAGAGGTGTCTGAGGTCCAGGCACTGCACTCAAGCAGGTAGTCCAACTTTACAGGGTTATTTATTGGAACACATAGAGTAACCTTTTGGAAAATGTGACATTAGGTAAGTGAAGCAGTAGCTGGTAAGGTGCAGTGAGGCCAGGCATTAAAGGAAAATGCAAAAGAATATTCTTCTGGCTGGGGTGGGGAGAAAGAGGGTCCGCAATTGGTTGATTGGCTCTTCGCACCTGCAGCCTGAGTTGAGGATGTACAGAAACGATAGTGCTCCCACCGTCTCATCCCTGCCTCTGTGTCTAACCCGTGAGTTAGCACACACTGTGCGCCGCATTAGGTAAGTGGGCATGTGGTGCAGTCTCCCAGATGCCTTTTCATTGCCTGATAAATGATTTCTTTTGTCTCTTCCTTCTCTCCTGCCATTCTGTGTCTAATGAAACTGCTATTGCGGAGTTGGACTCTTTTTTCCCCAAGGGATTTCTACTGAGTATGAACTAACTCATATTTCCAAGAAAAATTCCTCAGTGGTATATTTCCATACAGGCTCTTCTTAATTCTATTTTTCTCTTAGTGGGACCTTAATAATTCTAATTTGCCTACAGAGATTTCTAAAGAATTGTTTCTCTGAAAACATTTTATTTTCAAGCCATATTTTCATTCAGAAGACTTTATGATGTAGTTGACATCTTAGGGAAACATTTTAAAATGATGATTGTTACCTATGCTTGGTCATCAGAAAGAACATTGACGCTTAGGGTTTGGGAATGAAGGGGAACTAGCTCTAGATCTGGTTTTCTGAGAGGCGCAAAGAACAAAAATGTCAAAAGAGACAAAGATTCAAGAGATGACTTCTCTGGGGTGATACTGCTGGGGAAAATTCCCATTTATATGTTTGCTTGCAAAAAGAGACATACAATGGTTTTGATTATACTGAAGCTTTCTTTAAATTTTTGTAGTTGTTTTTGGCTTTCTAAGCAAGGGTGTACTTGTACAATACAAATGGTTTGGCTTCTGTCATTTTTAGCTTGTTAAATTTTATAAAGGTGACATGTGAGAAGTAGGTTAGCCCTTAGATCAAGACATCACTACCTATAAATATAAGAAGTCAAGTCTGTGGATAGAGGATAAAATGCTGTTAGGTTTATGTTTAATCTGGCATACAAGAACTAGAGATAGGATAAGTAAATTTTGGAAAATTAAATCCATAATCTGAGATTTCCATTTTGTCCTAAAATGTCTGCTTCAGCCTTCACCAAGCCTGAGATGAGAATTGGTGAGTTTTTTGGTTTACATCCTTTTTTAATCTCATATCCTATCTCAGCAGAATGTAGTGATAAACAATAGAATGCTCCCACACAAGCAGAAACAGGCAGGCAGAGAGGGAGAAGAAAGAGAAGCACAAGATCCAGTTAATACCATGCAGAATTGACAGGTAGACCATGGATAACCAAATACCTACAGAAATAATTTTAAGAGATCAAACTGAAAATTGAAAATGCAGTGCCCTATACATTGCAGCACAATAGTACTGTCAGTCTTCAACTGATGTACCTTTTTGTTTTCTAGAAAGAAAGAAAGGGTTTGTTGAAGTTGCTGTCTGGCGCCTCCACCAAACGGAAGCCCCGAATGTCCCCTCCAGCCTCACCCACCCTGGAAGTGGAGCTGAGTGGCAGCGAGGTGCCACTGCAGGGAGCCGTGGGTCCCGAGCTGCCGCTGGGGGGTGCCCACGGCAGGGCCGGCTCCTGCCCCTCCGACGGGGACGGCCCCGCCTCCACAGTGGCCGCAGGAGCAGCTCTGGCCCAGGAGGCTCTTCATCGCAAGACTAGCTCCCTGGACTCTTCCGTTCCCATCGCCCCACCTCCTCGGCAGCCGTGCTCCTCCCTGGGCTCCGTCATGAGTGAGTCTAGGCCTGTTGTTTGCGAAAGGTGAGTGCAGTGTTTTTGCAGGAGAAAAACGAAGAACTGTGTGGCAAGCTTTATATCGCAATATTTATTCTGATATTTAAGATATTTTTTCACATCCTCCTAAGTTTTTTTTTTAACTAAAATATGTAATAACAACCAAGCATTGGCTTTCTTTTACCATGTCCTGTCACATAGTCCAGTCTCTGCTCTTCCCTCCTGTGTGCCTTACACGGGTTTAGGCCTCCAGCCTTCTTGTTGTGTAGCTCCTCCAGACGCCACAGCTGTGTCTGGGTGAAGCTGGGCCACCACTGGAAACTTCTTCACATCTCTTCCTTCCTCTTGCTTCTCTTCTGTTGCCAGCGATTGCTCCCTTATTCCATCCTTTGCCTTTTGTACTAGTACCTGCTACCTGTAAAGCAGCTGGAGGATCCCAGCAACCAAAAGGATGCTCTTTTTATTCTTCCTGAGCCAGAAGATGTGGCTCCGTTCTCAGGGACTTATTACCCATCCTGACCCAGTGACTTGGTTCAGTTACACTCAGAGCAACAGCCTGTTTCTGTGATTCTAGCCTTGAATAATGACTAGAAAGGTGAGCAGTTCTGTCTGAGGCAGTTGCTGGGGGTGGGGGAGTGCCTTAGGAAAGAAGATATATTTAATAAACAATATCTGCTAGGATTCTTGGAATTAAAAATGCAACACCGTTCATTCTCCAGGAAAACATCGTGAAATACACTAAAAGGAGTGGTCTATTTTCATAAGCTTCATAATGCCCTTTGTACCTGCATTTCATAAATAAAGGAAATATTTGTGGAAGTGTTGCCTTTTAGGTAGCATTTCATATTACTGATTTGAAAACATACTATAAACTGTTATACTTTAAAATAGCTTGAATTCATCTTAACTCAGTATTTCAGATGAACATTTGTACCCACCAGAATCTGAGGCCTTCATTCATATATTTTTGGGAAATTTTTTTTTTTTTACCCAGAAATAGACTATAAAGGAATAAACTTCACACAATCTATATGCATTGAGTGTGAAGTACACAATTTATTGTGTATTTTTGTAGTGAGGTGGGATAATTTTCTGTAGTCCTAATCTTTATAAAACCATTTTGAAATGAGATACTACCCTAAAAAGTACTCTTGCCCCACAAAGAAAATTCCATCCATCCTCTCATCTCTTGTATTCTTTGTAGAGCTTTGAAATTTTGTCCTGAATTCACGTAAGCTTTTATTCTGAGAGTCAGCCTTTTCTTCTGCAGTGTCACTCTGCTTTCCAGGGATGGAGCCTCTGTCCCTGGAGTCACTCCAGTGACTTGTTTACTTTCTCTTGGTCACAAAGGCTCCTTCCTCCTCTGCCGACCCCCAGGCATTGATCTGCAGCTTTCCCTTCATGCCCCGAGTTTCTCTCTTCTTCCCCTGTCATCTGTGGTGTTTGTGCGACTGCTTAGAGTGCTCATTTACTTGGCCCAGACTCTCCCCAGGCACCAGCCCGGGCACGGCTCTCCCGCCTCCATCGTGCGTTCCTTTTCAGTTGCCAGATGTCCTCAGTCTCTGTGGCTTCTGCAGTCCAGCCCCTTCCTCAACAGGAGCTCAGTTCTAACAGCAGGCCCCTGCTGGTCGGTGCATCTGAAAAAGGAGAACAGGCAGGTGATAGCGGTTCAGGGAGCGCAGGATGCATCAGACAGGGAACGTGGAGACTTTCATGATGGGGCAGCCGGGCACAGCACTCTGGAATTCTCCAGCACGTTTCTTATGTAATCATTTCCATTTTCACAAGTGGGAAAGGGGTCTTTGGAGAAGATTTCTGCCCAAGTGTATGTTATCATAATCCACATGTTCAGTGGAATACGACATGTAACAGCCAGCCTGACAAACTTTTCACAGTCCCTTTGCCTTCATACAATTATGGTGATAATATTTATTTAACTTGGAGTCTTAGGTCTGTCCGGCTATAAAAATGATAGGAAAAATGTGTGGAAACAAGTAATATGGGACAAAATCCTATTATTCACTGGGAAGGAAATTTTTTCACTAACAGAAGCCTACCAACTATATCACTTTTGATATTTCAAAACTTTCAACACACTAAAGAATACTTAATGCTACAAATGAAGGAACAACAAACTTTCACGTCAGTACGATTCAGAAAGCGTTGCAGGATCTTAGATTCCTTGATTCACAATCTAAATATCAACAACTCCTGCCCTGGTAAAGTGCAGAATGCCTGGGGTTCTTTTGGTAGAATTTTGACTGATAGCATTTCATAGAACTATTTTTCAGTGCACAGTATTGGTACAGTATGAGATAGGATTCATCTGCAGATTATAATGAGAACAAACATAAAATTTCTTCTCAAACCATGAGCCGGTCCCATAAATCTAAAGTGGAAGAATGTGACTAGGGCAGCCGGTGCTGTCAGCGGAAAGAAGCCTTCTCGGCATTGAAAGACTTAAAAGGGTCTCACAATAAGGAGGGACGGACCTTGAGGTGTGTTGACAGGTCTTGGTGTCTGCGGAGGGGATTCTCTGGGGAACAAAAGGATTCTTTTGTATTTGTCAGAGAGACTGAAGAAAACAAGCAAGAAATGACACTGTATCCTGGAAGCAGCAAATGTATAATTGATGAAAGCAAAAATAAGAGAGCATATATTTTAGGCTCTGTTTTAGAGGGATTGAGGAAAAACTAACCAGGAAATTGCAAACAGAAGGTAGAAAGAAAATATTTCAGAAGGGATGGCAAGTAAAAGAAAGTAATATGACAGCTTTTTTTTTGTTTTCTACTAAAAAATATACAGGTAAAGGGCTTAAGTAGATGTAGCAAGCCACCTCCGTGTGTATTTTTAAGCTTAGGAATTAAACTGATAACCATATACTTATAAACCCATCTCCTAAATTAGAAAAGAACCTGTGATCTCTGATCAAGTATTAAGCTAGAACACTTGGAAACCTAAATTATATAAAGGTAGGTGGCTTAACCAGCATGGGTCGGTGACAACGAACCCGCTGGGTGAAACAGTGGACATATTTACTTGGACTTCCAGGAAACTGCAAAGAGAGCTAGTATGGTTTTGGGGTTTGCTTTTTTAAAAGATTTTATTCATTTACTTTTAGTGAGGGGAAGTGAGGGAGAAGGGGAGAGAAACCTCAATGTGTGTTGCCCCTCGTGCACTCCCCTACTGGGGACCTGGCCTGCAACCCAGGCCTGTGCCCTGACTGGGAATGGAACTGGCGACCCTTTGGTACTCAGGCCTACCCTCAATCCACTGAGCCACACCAGCCAGGGTGAGAGCTAGTATGGTTTTGCCAGTAAAATACTTAATTGGCTATTAGATTGTTGTAGCAACTAACGGCAACCAGTAAATGGTTACCCACCCAGACCAGGGTGATGGACAGAATGCCTCCCAGAGCCACTGGGGGTCCCATGTGGGCTATACCAGGGGAGTTTAGAGACAAAAATGCATCAGCTACAAAAAATGTGATAGAAGCCAAAAAATGAAGGAAATAGAAAATGTGTATTAATGAAAGATTGCAAGTGCCCATTAGGTGGAAGCCAGAACACCGTAGCCCAAACCAGGAAGATTGGCATTGCAAAGCCAGTGGAGCTTCTTTCTGTAGCAAGCTTCTGTTTCTCGAATTCCACCCTGGTAACAACTATCCCCAGAAACTGCATTAGCATCCAACAGCCACTGGAGGCAGAGGCCCGTTCCTGGCTCTGGCCAAGTCCGTGAGCCGCGCCGCACGCGCCGCAATGCCTCCCAGGTGTTCTGGCCCACGGGGCAGGGAGTGCTTTCCAGTTAACCAAGTGACCACTCAGTCTGGATATTTTTACTTTTTTTCCCCTTTAATCTTTCCATTCTTTTTAGTCACTCATTCATTCATCTATTTTTAAAATTGTGGTAAAATATATATAAAATATGCCATTTTTTCAATTTCAAATTTAGCAGCATTAAGTATATTCACATTGTATAACCGTCACCACTCTCCATTTCTAGAATGTTTCCATCATCTCCGGCTGAAACTCTGCCCCCATGAAACACTAACTGCCCATTCCCTTCTCCTGCCCTCCCTCAGCCTCTGTGAACCACCATTCTGCTTTCTGTCTCTGTGAGCCCGGCTGTTCTGTGTATACGTGAAATTGTGTGATACTATCCTTTTCTGTGTTGCTTATTTCACTTATCATAATGTTTCACGGTTCTTCTGTATTGTTAAATTTGTCAGAATTTCATACTTTTTAAAGGAGCTTTATACATTTTTAAAAATAGTTTCACTGTATAATCGGGCCTTTTTGTCATTCATCGTGCTTCATGAGAGTTATCCTTTGTGCTCTGCTAACTGGTATGAGGCGTGTAGGGAATTACCATCATCTCACCCCTCAAGCAGCTTACAGTCCAGTAGAATAAACGAGACAGGGGTGCAGATGGCAATAACACAATGTAGACTGGGCCAAGTGCCATGAAAAATATACATGAGGCCTCTGGGATCTGGTCAAGCATGAAATTACTTCCAGCCGCGGGGCTAGCGAGGATTTCACGGGGAGACTGGAGTGCGGCTTTGAGAGGCTGATTGGGTGTGGATGGGCGGAGAGGCCGTCACAGGCCGTTCCTTGTGGGAGGAACCACAAGAGCCCCGGTCTGGAATGGAGGAAGTAAAGGTCATATTTGCGAGATGTGTTCAGGATTAGAGAAATGTTTGGTACATTCGTGGAGATAATAGTAACTATAGCCATAAAGAGAGAAGGAGGCCAGACCTTTATGGTACATAGGGCCTTGTGTACCAGTCTGAGGATTAACCCCTTTCACAGACATTGAGAAGCTGATAACGGTTTTTGAGCAATAGGTCATTACAAATAGAGTTGCCAGTTAAGAAGATGAGTGTGTTCAGTGTAGAATGGAGCGGGGACCGGGATAGATCTGAGGCAAGAACAGGTAGGTTATTTAATTAGGTGGAAGATGATGAGTTTATCCACAAATGATGGTGACAATGACAACAAAGAGGAGTGGACGGGGTGCAGATTTTGAGGGAGGATCAGCAGGTCCCGCGGAGATCATGGGAGAGAAGTCTTCGACTCCTGAGATCCCGAATTTGCCAAAAACCCTATTCAAATCAAGACAAGCACGATCCGAGAGAGGCAGAGGGTGCAGCAGCAGACGAGAAGGGCCCCTACAGCTGCACTTTACGTCTGTCTGTTGGTCTGTAACCATGCCACTTGGCAGACCCGTGCCATGCCTGAGATAGCTGGCCAGTTTGTGCCCGGCATTTGGCTGTGAGCGTTCCTATTGGAAATCTGCATGCGAACTACCTCACACGGCTCCCGGCCAGGATCGGAGCTGGAAGATTTCTGCGTAGAGTCTGTTACTGCTGCACCTGGTAGTCTTCATACAATCAAGGCTGTGTCACAGTTTCCATTATGCACATGGTTTCTCATTCCACCCCCCAGAGGTTTATAACTTAGCAAAGAAAATGTGCTCCCCTGGGAACTTAGCAGGAAGATTATGTTCATAGCCCAGCAGCAGTTCTAGTTCAAAAAATTTTTGACAAAATTGGCTTAGTGCATTTCATAAAATGCAAATATTAATCTAATTCACTGCAAGTTTTTCAAGAACTATTTTTGTTTCATTTTCCCTTGAAGGCAGCTCACAGGAAACTGGTGGGGAACACTTTTTATCAGACATCTATTCTGAAACGATCTGAGTCACTTGTGCACTTTTTCCCCTAGAATTATACAGCTTTGCTGAAATTTTAACTTTCCCCAAACGGCAACTGTTTACATTGCTTTTTACATGGATTTTTAGCACTTTGGCAATAGACTTGAGAAATCTCGTCTGGATCCCTTCCTTCAGAGAAGTCCGGGATGAAATTATGTGTCTTGCTTTTACAGATGGCAGACGAGGGATTCCGAGACCTTAACTACGCCATTCAAAAGTTTGTCAGATCTCATTATCAGCCAGCTTTCCCTCAGGTTGTGTTCTGAGTCTGTTTCTTGGGCAGTGGTAGCCAGCTACTGACTGGCCCATTCTTCACGGCCTTGGAGCACCAGCCCCCCTGCCTGCTTTGGCCTCAGCCATGTGATCATAATGGGGTGTGCACTTTGTGAGCATCACACTTATACTTTCACTACTTTACATAATAGTACCTGTTTAACTCACTACAGTCCTGTTCTACAGGTGAGGAAACTGAGACCGAGAGCGCTGAGGTAATTGGCCCAAAGTTAATCTGCTCCCAGTGACCTTTACAATTGTGTCAGACCCAGGGCCAGGTCTCCCCCACAATGCCATGCCTCTGCCCTCATTCCATACTTGATTAAACCCTAAGCCTTGTTGTCTATAAATATGCATGTTTAAATTAACTGAACCTTTCTCAGCAATGATAGGCCAGCCTCTTTTTGTGCTTTTGCTTCAGATCTTGGAGGATAATTTGGTCTGTGTGCCCAAAGTAGCTCTTTGGGCAATTGGAATTATTTGGGCAGCCGCTAGACGTTTGAGACATGTCTTCTTAATAGATTAATAGCCTGGGACCCTTGCTCTGGTCCTTCTTAATGAGAATAGATTCTGATTTTTATGGGCTAGAGATTGGTGAAGCTTAGCAATCTTCTGAAAGGACTATGCTCAGATCGGTTTTATGAATTTGGGAGCAGTTCTATAGAATTTCTTCTGACTATCATGTTTTAAACCATAACATTATTTACTTACAGTCAAGAGAAGATTCTGTAATCTGCTGTGTAACAAATTACCCCCAAAATTTAGTGGCTTAAAACAATAAACATTTATTACCTCACAGCTTCTGTGGGCTGGGAAATTGGGAGCAGCTTCTCTGGGTGGTCCCGGCTTAGGATGTTTCTTGAGATTGCAGTCCGGATGTCAGCCTGAGCTACAGTCGTCTGAAGGCTTGACTGGGCTGCAGGGCTCCCTTCCGGGGTGGCTCACTCACAACTCTATTGGCTAGTTGGTTTTGGTTTTCGGAAAGAGACCTCAGTTACCCACCACATGGTTCTCTCCTTAGGGATGTTGAATTTTCTCACAGCATGGCAGCTGATTTTTCCCAGAGCAAACATCCAAGAGAAAGTAAACTAGAAGCCGCATGCCTTTTATGACCTAGCCTCAAAAATCACACCCTGTCATTTTCACAATATATTATTGATCACATGGTTTATCACTATACATTGCTGGAGAAGGCTACACAAAAGTATGAATACCAGGGGCAAGGCTCCCTGGGGCCATTGTGGAGGTTGGGAAAAACAAGGGAAGAGTAAAGGAGGCCCTTAATGCTGGAAAAATAAAGAGATAAAAAGATATAGAGCATAAAACAAGTCACCTCCCTCAGCATGTAAACGGCATAGAGAACATTAAAGCGACAAGACTTCTGGGGTTTTTAAGTGACAATTACACCTTTCCCTCTGGTGTCTGAGTTGAGAACCAATGGAGAAACAGACACAGTTATTACACGAATGGAGATAAGAGTGTCAGCCTCATTTTTGGTGGCTTTGGATTGAGTTTGTGGCCACAATCTTCCCCTCCCTGTCTAGACCTCAGGACAACCTCCCCCCGGGAGAGGAGTTGAGTATGTAACGCGGATGGACTACCTCAGATCTGCTGCTCGTCTGTGTCTAGCCCCAGTGTGAGGGACGCAGAGAGGCTGACTTTCAGACACCCCTCTGGAAGGCAGGCCTGCGCCCTGGCCCGCTCTGTGCTTACGCCGCGGCGGAGAGGCAGGGCAGAGCCCCCTGGGCCCGGAGCAGGTGTTCATAGAGGGCGGAGCCCACCCGCCCGCTCCTCTCCCCATGCTCACCCATCAAATACGTCCACTCCTTTCTTCTTGGAGAAAGGAAAAGGAAGGGACATTTCTTCCAGGGAAATGGAATAAAACTTTCCTTCCATGTTATGAATGTTTGAAGGGGACAAGAATGACGTTCAAAAAACCAGTCTGGAGTGTCAATAGCAGGCTATCAAGCGTATTCAAACTCTTAACACCAAGTCTGTACTTAACAGAGAATAGTTTTATGTTGAGTTGTTTTACAAACATTGTAAACAGACTCATGCTACTTCCTGTTCTGTGTGCACACACCATTTCTTATCACTACTCTTAACTAAAGTATCTCTTTTTCTAGGCACAGGGTGGTGGTTTCCTATCCTCCTCAGAGTGAGGCCGAACTTGAACTCAAGGAAGGAGATATTGTGTTTGTCCATAAAAAACGAGAGGATGGCTGGTTCAAAGGCACGTTACAACGTAATGGGAAAACTGGCCTTTTCCCAGGAAGCTTTGTGGAAAACATCTGAGGAGGCTAACACTGAGGAAGCTTACAATCCTATCACGCAACAAAATAGCACAACGCAATGTAATGGAAAGAGCACATTTGTGGACTTCCAGATGGTCAGGAGATGAGCGGAGGATTGGCGTGAGACCCCAGTGCCCCGGCACGTTTAGGCCAGCAGGCAGCGTGAAGAAGGCCTGTATGTGGTCTTTGTCACTCTGGATTCTGATGTGTAAGGTGTGCCTTGTACTGTCTGATTTACTTTACAGAGAAACCTTTTTTGTTTTTTTTAAAGAGATATAGCTAAAATGGACAATTGTTTACAAGGCTTAACTAATTTATTTGCTTTTTTTAAACTTGAATTTTTCTCATAGATAAATTCTTTGGATTATGATTTTAAGGAATTATTAATTTATGAAATGATAGCTAAGGAGAAGCTGGATTATCTCCTGTCGAGAGCAAGAGAATCCTTTTAACAGAGAATGAACCCCTCCTTTCCCCATACCGGTGTTGGGATTTTTTGTTTTGTTGGGGTTTTTTTGTTTGTTTGTTTATTTTTGGCTTTTTCTTTTTTTAACAGAAATGCCAGTTCTCTGATTTGGTATTCCTCTTCAGGAAACCAAAACATGCCACTGAATCAGTATCAGTAAGGGCCTGGGGTTCGGGAGACAGAAACTTGAGAAAAGAGAAGTTAACGATTACCTGTCTTTCTGGTTTGGTCAGGGATCGCCCTTTAGACCTAGTCCTCAATTTAATAATGTGGGTTTTTAATTTTTCCGGAAAGAAATCAATGAAAGGACAAGGAAGAGTAAAGCACAACCTTTAAACAAAAATGTATTCAGAAATTTATTTAGTTTTACAAGAGAAGCAGCTCCATCCATTGGTTGGAAATTGGAAAACTTGCAGTTGTATTCCTGTCTGAGAATGGCTATGGAATGTAAGCCACCCATTTTCCCTTAAGTGGTCTGCATGCCCAGGACACAGTAAAGCGTCTGTGAGATAGTGGTGGTCAGTGATGCCCTTGTGCTGAAGTCAAAGGCTGTAAGAAACACTGTGAAAAGTTTACATTCATCCATCGTGAGTCTCCTCCCACCGTTTTGCATGTGTTCCTGGATTCCCACAGTGATCTAGGCTGTGCATGGTCTGTGTAGTTCATTGCAATTTCCTGTTGAGGTGAGTTTGCCCTCGGAGTTGACCAACACAGGAACTGAAAAATAAACAGTACTCTTTTCTTCCCCAAAGCCACTACTGACCAGTTTCTCTGAGTGCACTCCCTCCCTTCCTGGCTAAGGTGTCCATCAGCCATGACATGAAGTCATTAGTGAAAAGGGTCCTTTATCTGTCCCCGCAGCTGACGGATGTCGGGGGGAGGCGGGATCTCCGGGAACTGTTCTCTTGCAGCTCGGGGAGGCTTGGCTCGCCGGAGAGTGCCCGCACCTTGCAATTGTGGCAGGATCCAGCTGAGCCTGTCTTTTTATATCCATTCTTTGATGTCATTGGCCTCTTATCCCATTTCGCTCCCGTGCCACGCAGTCATGGGTCTGGGCCATCCTAAAACACACAAGGAGGGAAGACAGCCTCGTAGTGAATGAAATCATTGCCACAGTTTTCTCATGAACAAACACACACAAAAACTTTTTCATTTCTTTTAAGAATTACAACTGGGAAATAGAAATACGAACTGAAAAGTCTTCTTGCAATAGCAAGAGGTTTCATGGTCTTAAAAAGATATATTATGTGGTTGAAGTGAAATCATTCCTAAATTAACCATTTTTTATAAGACACTGTACATTATGTTCCTGTGTGTTGAATTTTTAAAAAATACTTTACTTGGATATTCATGTAATATATAAAGGTTTGGTGAAATAAACTTTAGTTAGAAAAAAAAGCTGACATCAGCTTTCATCTGTGTAAGTTGACACCAATGTGTCATAATATTCTTTATTTTGGGAAATTAGTGTATTTTATAAAAATTTTAAAAAGTAAAAAGACTACTACAGGTTAAGATAATTTTTTACCTGTCTTTTCTCCATATTTTAAGCTATGTGATTGGAGTACCTCTGTTAATAGTTTCCTGGTATAAAGTTGGTTAAAATTTCATCTGTTAATAGATCACCTAGATAATATAATGTATGGGTTTTCTATTTTTTTTTTTTTTTGAGACAATAGATGGAGATTTTGTAACAAGGGCTTGTTACACATTGATAGGGTAATGATAAAATTGCAATTTATCATGTTAATAATTTGAAGACTGGAGAAAAGGTTCAAGATTAAAATTTGATGTTCATCCTTCATATGCTTCTTGTGTCAGTCCTTAAAATTGTTTTCTTTTCATTTTTTCCCCCCTGGGACACATTTGACTTACTAATTCATAAAAATCCTTTGCATACACCTCAAACAGGAAAAGTCTACAATAATCATTTTGGTGGTAATACTACATTTTATCCCTCCAACTAATAAATCTTATTTGGTTAGTTCCCCCAAAAGTTTCAAGTCTCCTTAGAAGAGTCTGTGGAGTTTCACCAGGTATAAGCTTCACTTTCTATGGTGACTAAATAAAATAGTCTAGTGACTCCTGGAAGTTCTGTCTTAGGCGTAGAAGGAGGGCCAGACTTACAAGCAACCGCGGAGTAACCCATGGGCCTCAGCAGGGCTTGGGAACATGATCTGTGATTTTAGTCTTCCATGGAATGCCAACAAGTCGTAAGTTTAAAAGGACCATGTATGTCATATAAAAAAATATATTTTCCTACTTTACTTTTAGTTGCTATCAAATTACTTACCAGAATGAAAAGATCATGAATTCTAGGTTGTATCATACCTTCGCCAAGAAACTCTCTTTGCAACCACCTGAACAAGTCAGTTATTACTTAGTTTCTTCCTGTTGCTTTTCTGTGTGCCTCCCTTGGTGAAGATGAGCAAAGGAGACAATGTCACTGTTTTTGAAAAGTGCTCTTTTAATATGTGGCATTATTTTCATCTCTGGTTTCATATATTTCATCACTGTCCCTTGGAGTATATGGAGATAATGCCTTTACTGGGTGTAATTGGATTTAGAAGGAACAAATTAAGGTGATGTTTCCAACTGCTGTGCATTTAGTTTTCTATTCATAATGAAAAGATGTTTTTTCATACCTCTGGCAGTTCAGGTGAAAATTTCAATCCAGAACTCTAATCATTAGAATTCAAGTTTGGAAAAATGCTTTCAATAGATTTCAGTACTTGTATAGCTCATTGTGTGTATGTGAAATTTTTAGAACTATGTTTTGAATCAATTAATCTACGCCCTTACCAAGGTAGCATCCTATCAAAACGACTACTTTCATGGAAAAAGAATTTGCCAACCTACCAGAGTAATTCAGAGGATATTTCTAAAAGAGATTAGCCCATGTCCAGGCTTAGTAAGGCTCACCCTTCACTCACTCCTGTGAACTCCACGTTGGGACAGGACGTGCTGGGGGGACGTTGGCTCTTCCTGGTAGTAAACCACCAGAGACAGGACAGAACTATTGGAGTGGTAACCAGCCCATGGGAACCATGACCGTTTTAAAATACCCTCTCTCAGGTTTACAAATGACCGTTTCTTCATGTGTTTTTATTCATAACTTTCTGACATGGCTATTTCCACTTCTAAAACATCACCTTGTCTCACTCAATGCGAATTCTTGTTGTACCTCTGTGACCCGTGTTCCCAAGAGCCAGGCTGAAGGGCTCGGCAGTTGGCACTAATCTCTGAGCCATCGTCCAATGATATCATCATTGGGTCAGACCCCTTTCAGCCTTGATGCCACGCCCTCCCAGTAGAGCTGTTGCGGGCAAGAGGATGAGCAGCAACAGAAGAACTGAGACTTTCGCACAACACAAAGGGTGTGAGCGAGTGAGAGAAAGTTCATGGAGTCCTTCCCGGCACTGTGGGAAGAGTCTTTTTCCAGCTCTTTCTGCTGAGTCTCAAGTTTCCCTTTCAAGAAATTCTATTATTTTTTTTAAATTTGAGTATTTTTGAAAGGGGAGTCTTTGAAAGACCCACTATGAGAGATCAGTTGACCATAACCCAGGTGGCCATTAAATCGTAAGACCTAATTGATAGCTTAAACAGGCTAATGGTGGTTGTAAAATTACCTTTGAATTGCTATTTAAATGTTTAGGCACTCTGATACATGTATGTGTGAGCACAGAGAAACAAACTCCATCAATACATTGTCTCCTAGACGGTGCTGGCCCATCGAACGTCAGCTCTGGAAAGTGACAGAAGAGTTTTACATCCACGCTCTCCACTGTGGTGGCCCCTAGCCCTGTGTGGCCACTGAACCCTTGAAAGGCGACCACTGTGACTGAGAAACAGAGTCTCTAATGTGATTTAATTTATTTTAAAATTTAACTATAAATATCCATATGCATGTAAATGGCTACTGTATTAGTTCAGCTTCAGAGAATTAAAAATCTGTTGCCAAATGAGCATCCAGAAAAGGGGTATGTGAAAGCGTGGCATATGGCTCTGCTGTGTCCAGCCTCTGCTCTAGGGAACGGAGAACTTGATGGTGTTAGAAACCCCCGAAGAGATGGGAAAACATCTGAACTTTGAGCTGTACAGATTATTTCTTTAATTTTGAATAGTTTCTTGCTTCCTCTGCTCTCCAAAAAATAAAGAAAAAAAAATAGATGAAGTTAGAGATTATATTCAAGAAGAACACAGGCTTCTGTGGAAGCCCTTTGGTGTGGCTGCATGGACCAGTGCCTTCTACACAAGCAGAGATCCTGTAGTCAGTCAAAGGTCAGGCCTTGTCTCTTCTAAGTGTGTCTTGATTTTAACATTCACCATGATCTTGAATCCATGAAGGATCACCAGAGTAAACACATGACTCCCAAAGCTGTTAAGATGATCGGATGATCTGCCTACTGTGAACTTAGTGAACATTCTCTGGGGCAGATTGGGGTCAGGGTTTATAGAGGAAAATAAAGAAAAAAAGGAATTCTAGCCCTCTAATTAAACCTGAAGTGACACCTCTGGGACAAAGGCCACGCTTCTCGTTTTCCAACCCCTGGAGCAAGGTCAGTTCATGTGAAGGCCGGGCCTTATCTTTCCAATCACATCCAGTTCATTTTTTTTTGCCAGTGAAAATTGAAAGCTTAATGGAATTACCTTTTCCCTTTTTTTCAGCACTCAAGGGTGCTACAAGACATAAAGCAAAAACGTCCTTTTGAGTAAAACCAATTTCCTTATAATTTATATCACAAAAGCACATTCAATAAACTCCCTAAAGGCAGAAACAAAGTAAAGACTGACGCCTTTCCTCCAGCTTGTGCTTTAATACAAGCTAATTGCATCATTGCCCGCAGACTGCATTTGTAACCCCCTTTCATTTTCCTTGTTAACTAAGGTTTAGTAAGGATTTTGTAAGAACTGATTCTGATCGAGAATCCTGATGTGGGGGGGCAGGGGGTTCTGTGGGGGAAAATCCTCTTTCTGCGTCAGGAGATAGCACTGCCAATTCTTGTGGGTCTTCGGGTGAAACAACTGGCGGCTTTAAACGGCTCCTCATCAAATGGGACCACCTTGGTTGTGGGAGTCCTCTGTGTACAGTGAAATAAGATGGACAGAGAGAATAACTTAAGAGACCTAGAGCTTAAAAGTGGCTCATATATTATGTAGGCCCCAGGATGCTCAAGCAGCGAAGACCACACACAATAGCCACCTGTTGGGACACGCGGCAAAGGTAAGTAAGGAGCAAGGACCGGTTCCTCCATTCCCCTGTGGAGAGGAGGAAGAGCTAAGCTCTTGCAGATGCGAGGAAATACACTAAGCTGTCTGATCCTGCTTTTGCCCCCGCCGCCCCCGCAGCGATAGGGCAGCCTCCATATATAGCCCGCCCGGCTGGTTCTGGGGTGGCAATTGTGGGTTCCTGTGATGTGGTGACAGTGGCAGAAATCAAAGCTGGACTTGAATTTCTACCCTTTAAACTGAAATGTGCTTTCCTGTGATTTATTTACCCACCAAGACAGACGTGTGGGATTGGCAGGTTATCAGTCAGCCCCTATAATAAAACTGAAGTGAGTGAAGTTTCATGAAGAAGAAATGGCAAAAGAAATGCTTCACAAAAGCAAAGCTGTAATAACGTCTTCCGCCGTCTAAGTTCACCCAGTGGTTCAAAACTTGTAAAATCAGATCTTAGCCTTGGATCCTGAACTGTTCCTTATGTTGGAGAATGCATTTTTTTCCTTAAGAAAAACTGTTTTGGATTATTTATTTCTTATCTCCTGCCTCCCTGTTTCTGTCTCTGTCTCCATCTCTGCCTCCCTACCCTTCTCCACTCCCTGCCCTGCCCCGCCCGCTGCCCCCCACACTCTCTCCAGTGCATGTGTTGGGCAGTGGAGCTTGCTGTCTGGTGGAATATTCCATGAACAAGTGTCCTCAGCTAGAAACGGTCTATCAGCGACTCCCCTTAAGTGTCCATCTGAAGAGCCTTCGAGATTTTTGTCATTTCTACCTTTTTTCTATTCAGTTTTAGTTGTATCAAGTCATGATCAAGATACTGGGGTATTAAAAAAAGACAGCATATCTGAGTCACAGGGGAAAACGACTTAAATGATTCTTTTTAGATTCAGATTCTTAATTAGCTGGTTATATTTTTTAGTTGCCTGAAATTAATCCACATACGCCTTATATTTTTCAAAACTATTGTGTGGGCCCTCTCAAATCACTGTATATTTAGCTAGCACAATGGTAAGTATGAGAGAGAGAGAAGAAATGCTTTTTTTTCAATCCTGCAAATATTTGGAAATTCATTACAAGAACGTGGACAATAAAAATGGTAAAAATTAAAATTGGTGAAATATGGGATCATGGAAAACAAGGAGGCTATCAAGAGGTGGGGATAATGAGGAGGAAATAAAATACATTGTCCCTCCCCTCACGGAGATTGCAGTCTGGTTGGGGGAAAAATACAAACAAAATTATAAGAAAGATGAGAGCGGTGGTCCCCAACTGTTTTGGCACCGGGGACCGGTTCGCCAGCTCGCCCTGCTGCTCACCTCCTGCGTGCGGCCCTGTCTGTCCCAGCTCCTACCAGGCTCCAGGCTGGTGCTGGTCTGCAGCCCGGGGGTTTGGGACCCCTGGATTAGAGGACAGTGCATCGTATTACCATCACCTTAAGTTAGAGAGTACAAATACAGTATGAGCTCAGAGGAAAGGGAAAGGCAGGCATGAGTTTTTGATAAAACGGTGATAGGACCTGGGCAATGAAGAAGGGAGAAATGTT